ATCATACTACCGTTAAGTACCGTTAAGTACCGACAGAGCGCCCCACAATCTCGTCCTTTCGTGGTCGTATTGTGAAGGTGGTCTCCTGCCTGTAGGTCATACAGCACGAACTTTGTACACATATCGCACGTTGTGCAGACAATCCGTACCTTCCAGCGGACACGAGCTCCACACAAAAACCTGTTTAGTGTGATCTTACAAAGTTTTTTTGTAGTACCCTAAGGTTCTCACACCGTACAAACTTCGTTGCGTTCTTCCATACGATATTCTTTTTCCTGGCTTCAAAATCAAGGTGAGGCGCTCTCGCAAGACGCTCTGGCAGTACTTTACGGTAGTATTATATTGACCATGGCGGTATGGCGGATTGTGGTGGATTTTGGCGGATTCATAACTTAACTAACACTTACCGGGGTGGGAGAGGCATGTGGAGCGTGATGGTGTAGCGCCCTGAGTCCAAACACAGTTCGGATCTCCAAGTTCCTGGCCGTTAGTTACTCCGTCTCCATCACTGTCAGCCTGACAAACGCCTGTGGTGAATCTATCACCTGCAGTGCGGAATGCTCGGCCGAACAAATTGCCACCACCAGATGGACTACCAGAGCAAGACTCAACATGTCCAACCGATAAACATGATCTGAACAGAACCAACCGTGATACATAATACAGACAGGGAGAGAGAGGGAGAGAAAGAGAGAGAGAGAGAGGGAGAGAAAGAGAGAGAGAGACAGACAGACAGACAGACAGACAGAGAGAGAGACAGACAGACAGACAGACAGACAGACAGACAGACAGACAGACAGACAGACAGACAGACAGACAGACAGACAGACAGAGAGAGAGAGAGAGAGAGAGAGAGAGAGAGAGAGAGAGAGAGAGAGAGAGAGAGAGAGAGAGAGAGAGAGAGAGAGAGAGAGAGAGAGAGATAGAGAGAGAGAGAGAGAGAGAGAGAGAGAGAGAGAGAAGTAAGTTACATTTATAAAGACAGGTAAGTCTAACAAATGAGGACTGAGACCTCTACAACAGGGTTTTTACGCCTGAAAGCAGGTGCATGATTTAACAAGCAGGTTGTCAGTCTAGATTTTATGCGCAGATGGAGAAAAAGCGCAGAATTTTTGTTATGAGATGAAAAGCAGAAATAATAAGAAATAATAAGAAAAGATGAAATGAAAGCCAGCTCACAACCCCGCCCAGCCTTGGCGAACTGGGTATGGTGGATTAAGAACCCGGTTCAACGCTCGAGCAAGCGCTCTCCACTCAAGGTGTTCACAGCAACTGATAGGAACTCATATGGGGAAATTATAGAAAAGAAATAATAAGATAAAGAGAATAAATTTCAACGCACCTCAATAAACGGAGCCCCACATACAGTACCTAAGAAAAGTGGATCTTCCGACCAGTGTTTTTGTTGACGCCGCAACCAGATGATGTAGCTGCTTTGCAGAGACGTCTTACCGCACAAATTACAAATAAATTTTATTCTTCGATTAGAAAACCCAAGCGCTTTCAGAGCCCTCCGAAGAGAGTCCGGGATGAAACCACGCACACTTACCTCAACCGAAAAAGAAACGACCTGCCACCCGTTTGCTCGGCATTGATCGGCCAGATCCGCATACCGCCTGTCCTTCCGCGAGTTACTGACACCTGAATCTGTCCTCAGTACAAACTGTCAACTCCATCCAGAACACAATCCTACGACTCGTAGAGTACAGGACTATATCTGGTCTTAGGGTGGTAAGTGCAACACAGCTAGGGAAAGAAATCTTTGCACTAACTGAGTCGACAAGAAGTTTCCAGTCTGAGGCCGCTGACAGGAGATCAGTCGTAACCAACTTTCGTCTGGGCTTAACGCGAACTGGCTTCTCTCCCGCCTTGCAAAACGAGATGAAGTCAAGCTCATTTAGAGAGAGAGAGAGAGAGAGAGAGAGAGAGAGAGAGAGAGAGAGAGAGAGAGAGAGAGAGAGAGAGAGAGAGAGAGAGAGAGAGAGAGAGAGAGAGGGAGGGAGGGAGGGAGGGAGGGAGGGAGGGAGTCGTAGGATTGTATTCTTCATCTTCATCACTGTCATCCGAAACACACCCAATAAGAGACTTTCTCGAGTCTGCCATGGCATAAACTACTCAACAAGAAGCTAACCCACGGAATGCGGAAGTGACGTTCAGGTTTGGGAAGTAACTTTTTCTTCTCTCAATTTTGATACACAACGGCTCCGTTTCCCCCAAAATGCTGCATCACGAGCCCAAAGTGCTGGGTTTGCGGATTGTACCGAAAATGCTCAAAAAAATGCCGGCATATTACACGGGGGCCGTATACAGTGTAGTTGGTGGTACGAGTGTTCAAAACCATTTGAACTACATGTAATTACTTCATACTGTTCGTCTTCTTTTTTACATGCTCTCTTTCCATCGTCCTTAGGGTTTTGTTTGTTGTGAGCTGTTTTGGCTTTCTCCTATACATCTGGGGATGCCAAGTGCTGGTTTTGAGAGGCTGGTGATGGCTGTGAGCGAGAGTTCTGCCGATCGGCCCGGCTTACTTTTTCTCAGTGGGCTTCGAAGTCTTCTCGTGGCTATCTGCAGGGCGCTGCCACCTGAAGCGGGTGGTGCTGGTGCAGGATGTGGCGGCATGTCCTTTGTCTTCACATGAACTGCAGGCGTAGAGACGGTCGCACCGGGGTGTGCGGGAACAGGGCCTGCCGCGGTTGAAGTTAAAACAGACTTGGCGGGTGCTGCCCGCCACTGATGGAAAGGGCTGCGCGTGTTGAGCTGCGGCATGTGGGCAGCGGTCGCGGCTGTTTTGGAGCGTGCATTTGGTGCATGACGGACGGGGACTCGGAGCGGAGTAGGTGAATACTCCACAGTGTCTGATTGATCACGTCCCAGCGCAGTGCCATGCTGGCGGTGTGTTGGCGAAATGCTCGATCATAGTTCAGCACAGCAGACGTCGTGAACTGTTGGTTCGCAGTACAAAGTATGTGCTGGTAGCAGACAAGCTCATGAGCTCGGTCAGGACGAGCAAGAACGACGATGCCCATGTAGATCGTCCAGGCCTCCAGCCAAGCCAAGAAGTCGTTGATCGCGCGCGCGCGCGCGTGTGCTTTGCGCTGAGGTTGAGCGAGAGCTGAGCCATGTCGCCGCCAGCTGTAACCAGTTGAGTTGTATTGGCTCCTGTCCCTGGGAGCTGAATTTTCCGGCAAGAGTTCCTCAAGTTCCACAAACTCTCCGCGCTGGATTTTTTCAATCGCACGACGTGGCGGTGTGGGTAGAACCGAGGGCTTGGAGAGAACTGGAGGTCCTGGCAAAGTCGGAGGTTCCGATAGAACTGGAAGTTCCGGGCAGGATAGGTCCGGAGCTTGACGCTCGAAGCGTGGGAGCGATCTTTCGGGTCCGGAGCGCGCGCGTGGGAGAGATCGGCTTCCAGATCAGACTCAGCACTGTTCTCCAGGCGTTCCACGCGTTCGAGGAGAGAGTGGAGGGTGTTCATCTTCATAACGGCTGAGGAAATGATGTCCGGGGAGAGCAATGAGGGCTCGTCCTGCATAGAAGCGTCGGTGCCTGGAGCGGGGTCAGAAGTCTGAACTAGCTGCTGACGGTGTGTCGGAGGCATCAGGCGCGAAGGCGCGCATGCCGTCAGTCCGCGCGTATGGCGATGTCGAAGCCCTAGTCCGTCAATGTGGACCCACTGCATACCGATATTGCAATGTCAAACAGATCCTGCAGGAGAAGACTGGGATGTTGGCGTCCAGTGTACAGACACCAGTCGCATTTCCTGCGTCTTTTGCAGCATACAGGATAGACTCATCACTGTAGAGTCCACTACTTCGTGACTTTTATTTGTAGAATACATGACAGGCGTATTCAGTGTGCCTCGCAGGACTGCGAGATGCTGCAGAAGACCAGGTTCAACCTTTCTGGACGGCCATTCACTGACAGTGGGCTACACGATGCTGGAGGAACTAGATTCCAGTGAAAACCCAAGATTCCTTTGCTCCTGGACGCTCCGACGTGTTGTGATATCTGCCAGGTGCGCAGTAACTAGTATTTTCATCGCTATAGCGAGGACGACGCCGATCGGCAAAACTCTCGCTCACAGCCATCACCAGCCTCTCAAAACCATCACTTGGCATCCCCAGAGGTATAGGAGAAAGCCAAAACAGCTCACAACAAACAAAAGCTAAGGACGATGGAAAGAGAGCATATCAAAAAGAAGACGAACAGTATGAAGTTCAAAATAATGGTTTTGAACACTCGTGCCACCAACTACATGTTATGATGTCATGTACCACTTTCAATAAATCGTGACGCCATTTTGTTTTAACACGCATGTCGCGGATCAGCACAATGACGGGTCGCCATGACTGCGTGATATCCTGTCCAAGTCAAAGGCTACACATGTACGAGTGCGAGCGCGTTCTGACTCTTCACACAAGTGGGTCCTCCGCGTTGTCTGCTGAGCTGCATGCTTGCACTGCGTTACGCTTCGGCGCACAGTCCACGGGCACACACGGCATGCACTCCCCCGATTCACCATGGAGACGGGATCCTTTATATACCGTGGACCGCCATCTTGCGCCCGATCTCTCCTTTGTGCTTTCAGTCTGGAGGTAGAGCTTTTTTCCCTTCTCTCTTTGTCGACGCTAGTTTGAGCTGACTTTAGAACTTTCATCATGAAGATCTTCAGGGACGTTATCTCTGGTAAGTATGTAGAATTTGTCTGAAGTGTTCCGAGGCGGTCTGTTGAGAAATGGTGGCCGTTTTATCGCCATCTGCAGGCGATGAGCTATTCAGCGATACTTTCCCAATGAAATTGGTGGACGATCTCTATTACGAGGTCGAGGGAAAGGTAAGTTTGGTGAAGTGGAGTTCGTTGTTTGTCATGGATGTGGCCAGTAGTATCGTTGCATCTATGCATTGCCTCTCAGACTGTCACCGAAAGCAGTGAGTTGGATGATTCCCTCTTCGGTGGTAATGCCTCTGCTGAGGGTGCTGATGAGGGTGCTGGTGCTGATGGAACCGTTGCTTCTACTGGAATCAACGTTGTGATGTCTCACCGTCTTTCTGAGACTGTCTTCACGAAGAAGTCCTATCAGCTGCATATTAAGGAATACATGAAGGCCATCAAGGCACACCTGGCTACTGAGACCCCAGCCCGTGTTGACACGTTCGTCAAGGGCATGCCTGCCGTTATCAAGAAGTTCTTGGGCCAGTTCGACAACTTCCAGTTCTTTAATGGCGAGTCAATGAACCCCGACGGCATGGCCATCCTGATGAACTACCGTGAGGATGGTATCACCCCATTCTTCGTCTTCTTCAAGGATGGTTTGGTCGAGGAGAAATGCTAAAACCAAGGTGAGAATGATTTTTTTGTTCAAGATCCTACAATTTAAACAAATCGCCATTATTCAACTAAAAAATGTTGTGCTCATTATGCCTCCCCACATCTTACTGCGTGACCCGTGTTGACTATCAGCAGCCGACGTATCATTCATGCTTTTGTCCTTTGTTAGCGGGGCTAGCAATGGATCGGCGAGTTATTGCGCATAAATGCGTTTTCTTTGTTCAATTCTAGTCTAGGTGCTCACAAGTATCTTTGATGATCGTAATCCAGTGCCTTGTTGCCAATCCTCAAACTGGTTGGGCAGATGTGACGTCATTCAGCGCTTTGAATCTTTTCTTTCTAATTTTGAAATGCGGGTCTACCCTCGTTAGTAGATAACCTCGGCCGGGGGGTTTGAATTGCTCGTCTTATATAATGAGTATTATCTATTATTCAGACGTGAATGTATGCTTTTCAGGCGTCAGGGGATGTTGATCATTGTCTACTAAGGCGATCTGTCTTGTAACTGATGTCATACTAACAAGGGTAGACATGTACATGGCTGTGTTGTTCCTGGGTGGTATATGCCAGCTTTATACTGCTGTCGTGGATATGGAAATCTGGCTCGTGCCCTCAGTGCGTAGTGCGTACCGAACGTTACATGCAGTGCATATGTTGAACCGGTGCCGCAGCGCAAAAACGAATGTGTGTACTGTATACGTACTCGCGGCTACTTTGGCCGCTTGAGAGCTCTGACCGTATTTTCATGTCCACGACAGTACCTACTCCCAACGAATAACCGCGCCAGGGGGAAACGGCACATTTATGTTCCTCCTATTTACACAACATGGGTGTCCAGTCCTGTTCCCATGCATTCCTTCCCAAGTTTGCTATTGTACGCATCCTCGATGTGAATGTAGTGGTTATAAGGGTGCGGTTTTTACATTTCTCATTGTACTCGCGTTTGCCATTTCTGGCCTGCATTGCACGGCTTCTATAGGTTTTCATTCGTGCGTCGTCACGTTGACGTGGTTTAGGATGTGGCGTGAAGTCTACCTAAGCTGATCCATGTGTGTAGTGCCTGGTTGGGTTGATGTGTGTGCAGTCTGTGTTTTCCCCCGTTTTGTATCCACATCTTTGGTGTGGCGTTGTGGTGTTCTGGCTGTCAATCTTATGGCTCTTTGTTTGTGTCTGTGTGGCTCTTCCTTCTGCAGATTCTACCGACATCTGCCATTATACTGCAGCAACGTACACGTGCAACATCACTGCGCCAGGTTATGCTGCCTGCTAGTCGATTTTATCATTGCGTTGGTCACTAAGCACGGACACGCGCACGCTGCAGCAGCGAGTGTGTATGTGCCTATATACTCGCCGTTGCAACAACAACCGCCACTCTGCTCTTGCTGCTGTCTTTCTGACGTGCCCTGCGCGTCGTCCCCAATGCCCATCGCCCTATGGGATCGCTGCTAGATCACTGACTTGTTTGGTGACTGCAGCTTTGAGGAGAGACTCCCAGTGTACATGTTACATCTGTACTTGATTTTTTTAAACTCTGCTGCTCTGGTGGTTGTTTGTCCTGAAAGTGTGCTGCTGCTGCTGTGCACCTTCCCCAAGTGATATTCGACAACAAGCATTATTATTCTCTGCGCTGCTACTGTGTACGAGCTCTTTCATACTGACTGTACACACCTCCATCAGATCTGACACTCGGTATTTTCCATCGACAACTCAATCTGTTCCTTTGTGTGTGTATGTATGTATGTTGCCTCTCTGGGTACGCACACGTAATGTGATCGTTCAGGTGGGGAACAGAACAAGGTGTTGTTGGTTTGTAGCTGACACTTGCATTCAGCAAAATTAGCTGAGTTCTAAAAATGGTTTGAAAAACTTATGCAATTGGAAGATCGTGAACTCCATTGTCCAAGATAAGAAATAATAAGAGCGAGAAATATCCTATGTCTGGCTAATGGGCATCACTGTCTGTACACTAGGTGTAGAACAAAGCTATGTACAACCCTGAAGAGGGCGACTCCATGGGCATGGTTTTTAAAAAAAAATGGAAGGTGTTATGCTTAAAAAATATTGACCAAATGGGTCTTTTGTGAACAAGGCAATTCATGGACCTTGTGCATGTGATGTCTTGGGTTTGCCAGTCTGATTATCTGGCTGCTGAACCAGCAAGGCAGGTTTGGATATTTTCTTTGTTCACTCCTCGTGAAGTCTGAACTTCTTTGCAAGCTCCCCTAGGTCCTCATGATCTTCAGCATCAGCAATAATCTGTGTGGTGATAGAAATAAAAACAACAGTGCAGCATAAATAACGTTAACCACAGTTTGGGAGCAGACATCAATAATCCGCCCTATCTGATTGTAGAGATACAAAGTGTACACCCAGCAGCGTACACACAGTACAACCAAAATGACTATGTGAACAGAAGTTTCTTGGGCTGTGTTTACATGAGAAATTTCAACACGGGTCGAGTTCAGCCCGGGTTGAAAGTCTGTACGACAAACAAAAGAGGTGAGCGTTTACATGAAGACAGTTGACCCGGGTCAAATACTGATATGCCGCCAAAAGTCCACTTCTACAGTCCTGTATGGTCACGTGAATCCGTTCGCGCGAAATTTGCATCTGCAGTGCTGTTCAAACCTGGCGCGAGATACGCACAGAAGTACGTTTGTACGATTTTCTTGACCCGGGTTGATTTCAACCCTCCCCCCCCAAGGGGAGGGTTGAAATCAACCCGGGGCGAAATTTCAACCCGGGTCAAGCGCAATGCGTCATGTAAACGCGCCATTCACTTTGTGCACATGGCGGGTTGAAATCTGACCCGGGTCGAACTCAACCCGGGTTGAAACGCTTCATGTAAACACAGCCTAAATGACCTGTCCCCACAGAATGACGCGGACAAAATCCTAAAAAATATGCGGGCGAAAACAGGCCACTATGCGGTAAATATGCGGTATAATGCGGTCATTATGCACGAGTTGTCTGTCATCGGTACACATTTAGCGTACAGAGTACTCTAATTTCAGAAATTTTCGGTGCTCAATATTTTCGGTATGAGGGCAACAGGCTACAGTCCATTCATAAAAAGATGGGCTCTGGCTCTGGCGAGCTCCCGTATTTGGCGATTTTTCGTGATTTCATCGTACACAGTGCAGTGCTGCGAAATTTGAAATTTGAAAAAGGGTCCAAAAAGGGTACCTGAACTGGGGTTCGAACCGCACAATGCACGTTTGCAGGCGGGGTCAAACGGCCTGGATTTTTATGGTTTTTCCCAATTCAGTGCTGTTGGGGCAAAACCTGGCCGGAATTCTATTCTTGTTATGGCTTGCTTTTTGGACAAAAAAACTTCAGAAACATAATTGGAAGAGGATTCCATAGGGGATTGCAGAAAAAAATTCTAAAAAAACTCAAAGTTTGACCCATTTATGGCCAAAAGCTAGAAGTCCATCTTTTTCTGAATGGACTGTAGGTTAGGTGAACAGAAATTTTCGGTACAGAGAAGCAGTTCCCTATTGGATTATGTGTGTTAGTGTTTGTTCGGTGTATTGAAATTTTAGGTGTGAAACAGACGCACCGAAAGTACCGAAAATAAAAGTACACCGAAAATTTGTGAAATTACAGTACACCTTTCAAATGGTGAACGGTACTATTCGGCAAAAAATGTAAAGAACTCTTGAGTCGGCTGTGAGAGCGCATGGAGGAGAGGAGAGGAAGAGAGTACACCTTTGTCGTACAAACTCATGGGCAGATACGACGTTGTAGTACATTTTCAAAATCATGTACTGTTTTCTTGTATATTCCCATGGACAACGCGGGGTTTATGCAAAATTTCGCGAAAACCCGGATGAAAGCCAAATTTGCGCGTCCGCGGAATCGCGGTATCCTGTGTGAACAGCTTCACCTCCGCTCTGCATCCAGTCACACTGTGCAGGACTGTGTGCATGTCTGTCTAAGTCATGCACAGTAAGTACGTTCTTACTTGAGATATTCGGTACGCAATAGTCACAGATCCGCATAGAAAAAACTAACACAGGGCTCCTGGGTTTGCGCCTTTCCCTCAAACGAGTGAATATTGTATACTTCTGTTCACATACACTGTACTGCAGACGACTTCAAAGACGAGGAGGCTGTGTGCCGGTTACCGCGTGCACAACAAGCGTGTGCCACACACCTTGCAACTACGCACAGTACAAAAGTGCTGCTCAATGATATCTGATCACATGACATGAGTGAAGTCTGTGCCCTGTACCAGTGAAAAAGCCCAGTGTTCCCAGGTCAGAGGTTGCAATGCATGCACCGCGCTGCCCGGCGTTGTACGACCGGATTTCATTGAGCTACTAGTGCGACATTCGGCTAGAAGCTGGCAAGGAAACAGGCTAGAAATCCAATACGATCCGTACAATGCAAACGGTTCAGCAAGTCACTGCAATGAGACACAAGTGTGAACAGAAAGTGCCTGTTGCAGGCTGCCATCGCAGTCACGAATTCGTTGCCGCATAAACTGAACGGAGTTCAACTCTGTTTGGCATGCAACAGCTCCACACAGGTGATAGACACATTTTGGGTGGGGGGGGGGGGGGGCATACCGTGGCTTGGCTATGATGCTGGCAAACACACAGAGTAATACACACACAAACAACACACAGCAGCTCACCCTTCTTGCCAGAGGCATACGGTGGAAGACATTCCACAGGAGAATACCAACAACCTTCTTCTCTCGCATGTAGAAGACAACGCCCTTTCCATAATTCTCTGGGTCCACCTTCTTCTCCGCATCCTGAACCAGTTCCTTAGTGACAGGCTCTTTCTTCGCCTTCTTGGACTTCTTTTTTTTCTTTGGTTTCTCGTCAGACACTTCCTCCTGCTGCGTGAACGGAGAGAGAGAGAGTGAGAGAGAGAGAGAGAGAGAGAGAGAGAGAGAGAGAGAGAGAGAGAGAGAGCGGCACAGAGAAATAAGAATGGTTTGAAAAAGCTCATGCATGCCATACACCACACACACACACACACACACACACACACACCACCCCCCCCCCCCCCACACACACACACACACACACGCACGTGGTGCTGGCTGGGCGAACTACAAGCTTACATACATGTTTTCACGATGACAGTCTATCAGGCAAGGCTTGCATATCAGTTTACAACCAGTAGAACACCCGTAATCTGGGCACATCCGTCTACCAGACACCTTCTGACCCATCTAGAGTCATAAAAGGGCTTTCCAACGAAAAACGGCCCCTAAACTATTGACAGGCATACAAATGTTTACTTGCATGCAGTAGGTATGTATGTTGTGAGTTGCAGGCAATTCCCAATTACGGGCAGTGCTCGGTCTCGACCTGCACGGATTAGGAGAGCTTTACTGTGCAATGTCATGTATTATTGCTTCTTGAAGTATTCATAAGGTTGAGGGAGTGGAAATGGGAAAAGCCCGAAGAACAAATAGGAGATTGTTTTTGACTGTAACCAGCAGGACAGACGCCAGGGAGCCTCGCTAATGGCCAGCGATGCTCTATCACTAAGCTATGGTGTAGTAGTACTTTCGTTTAGTGGCAAGAAACCACTTTGTCACAAGCCGACCAATCGAGCTACGCAGGACAGAAGATTGCGAGATCGTGAAAGATATACTGAAGTAGAAACACAGCAATTTCTACCCAGGGTTTCCAAAAGGACAAAAGGAGGTACTTCTCGCCTAAGTGTTTAAATGCCGTGCCCGGTCCCGGGTTTAAATGACTCTCTGGCCAACATGAATGAAGCATCTTCGTGTTCTGTTGCATCCACAATATCTGCAGCACACCCCTCTCTGACATGTTCTCCCTCCGCCGTGACTGCGCTCACACAGATAGAGTCACCCGGGGCCAAGTCAATAATCCCCGTTCTTTACCCAAGGCAGGCAGAGTGGGATGGTCTAAGACTATGATTGAGAAATAGAGGGTACCAGGTTCAAGTTCTGCTTGGAAGCGGAAGGAATTTTTCCAGCCGTGCTGCGACCCACAGTTAATTGGGTGGGTCTGATCTACTCACCTCCCACCGTTTAGGTTCTGCATCTGCGCCTTGATCCTAGAGGGTGGTGGCGTTCCTACGGATGCGAAAACGCGGCTTCCAGTCGAGTCTCACGCAAACCGTGATTTTTATTTTTACCTATGGTGCAAACTCAAGCTGGATACAAATCTATTTCATTCCTTGGTGCTGAACGCTTTTGTGCGCTTCCCGAATCCCTTTGCACTAATCATATCCCCAATTCTTTTCGCCAAGAACTTACACATTCATTCATCTTGGGCACCCTGTAAGAAGACCTTAGGGTCTGTTGGGAATGCCCAAGTAAAATAATAAAATACAAATACAAGCATGCCTGATTGTACACATGACAGTGTATACAATGTACTCGAAGAAACAACAACGGGCAAATTGAGCAGCTCACGGCACACTCACTTCTGTGTCAGATCGCAGCGTGTTGTCACCCTGTGCTGAGGCTGCTGCTGCAGCTGGTGTGTCCTGTGCGGTTGCCTTGGCCCACACAGCAACGGTGGGCAGCTGGCTGTCACAGACACCAATGGCTTCATAGCCTACCTCCGGTCCAAGGTCACTCCTGCACACAGATAGCAGTATTATGGAGACAAACCAGCCAGTCACAGCTGTATAGTGACGATTGTGTAAATAGCTTCACACACCCGGAACCGCTGACCACTGTACTACCGGTACTCGACTACTGGGAGAACCATAAAAGGCAGTATGCTGTACCCTAGCATGATTGCTGACAACTCTGCTAGTCTATCAAGCACAAGTGTACTCTGAGCAGTACATGTACAGTGGAACATCAGTGATGGATACGCCAGGGACCTGAATATAGGGGATGTGACTGTTATGTAGGGGTGAAAGTTGGCACTGAGATCCCGAGTTCGAGTACTCTGATTTTCTCCGATCTAATATTCGAGTATTCGAGTATTCTTCATCTCCTAAAAGTTGCACACCAGGGGCCTTAAAATCACATGATACAACCCTGATTGAACCAAGTGGCAGGCATTTTACTCAGGTATATTGCATTATTGGTTGGTGGGTCATTTGGGCTCTCTCTGCTCGTGAACAAATGTTCACCACATAGTCTGCACATCAATATCTGCCGACTGCTGCACTGAAACTACAGATTTCTGTGGAAAATGCATGTACCATGCATGAACGAGTACTCTGATTTATTCCGAGTACGATTATTTTTGAAAAAACCGAGCGAGTACTCGAGTATTCGGTATATTTGTTTCACCCCTACTGTTATGTGACTTACACCACACAATGATGTAGCATTGTTTCAGCAGTAGGATTATCAGTGCACACACACACACACACACACACACACACACACACACACACACACACACACACACACTACTACTACCGTAAAGTACCGCCAGAGCGCCCCGTCTCGCGAGAGCGCCCCACCTTGATTTTACAGCCAGAGAAAGGAAAATCGTATGGCAGAGTGCAACGAAGTGTGTACGATGTGAGAATCTTAGTGTACTAAGGTCACACTTGGCAGGTTTTGTGTGGAGCTTGTGTCCTCTTGAAGGTACGGATTGACTGCAAAACGTGCAATATGTGTACAAGGTTCATGTCGTATGACCTACAGACAGCAAACCACCTCCACAATACGACACGAAAGGATGAGATGGTGGGGCGCTCTGGCGGTACTTTACGGTACTACTAGCAGCATGACTGCCCAGAGGGGCAAGTGTCACCCCTATGGAAAGGGGACCAGAAAACGGGACACGGATCACAAGCAGGACCGCGAATGTCTGGCTAGGTCCTGCTGCCGGCGGAAATTGCGTTTACAATGTGGGCAGCTGAGGGGCAGAGCTGCTCTCTCAGCAGCAGATGGTCTCGCACCACGATTGCAGTTGTGACGCTTGAACCCGGCCGCAGAACGGAAGCATCGCTGACATGTTGGGCAGTGCTGCTGGCAACAAGCTGAAAGTGGCACAGACAGACTGACTGTTGGTGTAGGAGAACTCGTGACAGGCTGGCATCGATGAACAGAGTAGCCACCCTTGCTGCGGAACCACCTCTGGCAGTTCTGGCATTGCACTGATCCATGCTGGAGCTGGATGGGAAGCCGTCTCTGAGTGGTGCACTTGTGCCGCGTTCTATCGGAGACCCGTGAGAATTTCCGGTCACACACTACGCAATGCACAGACTTGGGCATGGTGGAGCTCGACTGAGGGGCAACCCGTACTTCCCTCCACTGTTGGCGGTCCTGAGCAAGGATGAACCACTGAGATGGCTGTTGCAGTGCAAACTTGAGGTCGGTCATCACCGTGTCTTTCCACCGTCGCCGGGGACCACAAAACGGCCGAGGCACAGGTAGCCACCCAAAGAGGAGTTGGAGGGGGTGCGATCCTCATCCATACGCGCAACGTGCCCAGTCCATTCCAGACGCCGATTGCGGAGGCGTGTAGACATCAGTACTGGGTCTCCCCAACGGTTCCGCAGGTCTGTGGATGACAGCCGCTCGGACCACTGATGAGGCTTGGTGATGCTGAGGACAGTCCGGATGCATTGATGGTGGAATTTATCCAAACTTCTGATATCCCGTTGGAGTGGGGTCCAACACTCTCCGCCATACAGTAATATTGAGGAAACGCAGGCCATGTACAGGTGGCGTTTACTAGAGAGGGACAGAGATCTGTCAGTGAATACCTTCTGGAGGGCTCCGAAGGCCTTTGAGGCTTCGGCAATACGGCGCTTGATGTCGGATGAAGAACGACTGCCAGGGGTCACTATGGATCCTAGGTAAGTGAACTTCGGCACGGCTTCGATAGTGCCAAGGGGGAGAACGATGTCAGCCGAGTCTTCAGCAGAGACCCCATGGCCCGCCGTCATGATCTTCGTCTTGGCGATGCTCACAGTTAGTCCAAATTCTCGGGCAACACTACAGAAGAGCTCCACACCAAACTCAGCATCACTACGGCATTCAGACACGAGAACGGCATCATCAGCATACTCCAGGTCACTAACAGACAGTGACTGTCTGTCAGTGACCTGGAGTGACACACACACACACACACACACACACACACACACACACACACACACACACACACACACACACACACACACACACACTACTACTACTACTACTACTACTACTACTGTAGCTTGGTTGCCACAAGGGCCACACCACTCCGAAAGGAGCCAGAGTCATTGTCAGGAGCAGAAACGGAGATGACGACTCAGGTCACTCTGTCGACGGAACTGACGGTTGCAGCGAGAACAGCGAACACCATACGACGCTCTATCAGACTTGGTTGCTCGATGGCCACGGTCGCACTTGTGACGTCTGAAACCAGGCACTGACTTGAACTGCCGATTGCATGTCACACGCACACACACACGCACACACACACACACACACACACACACACACACACACACACACACACACACACACACACACACACACACACACACACACACAGACTCTCACAGGTCACACACTCACAGCCTGTCAGCCATGCAGAGTACACCTGAGCTGACGTCACACACCAAGCACACAACTCACCAGAACATGGACTGGTGTACATAGGTTTTCTGCAGTCCGGTCATGTTCTCCCCAGCCAAACTGCCACTGACAACTGCGTGATCATGATGTTCCACACGGCGACGACCGAGGTTAGCGTCGTAAAAGCAAG